CTGAAAAATGTTGGATTGTATACCTGGATTATTGAGCATGGACTTTGGTATACCACCAACACTGTTTATAGTGGAGGTGGTATGATGTTGACCTCAAATCAGGATGTCGTGGGTCAGTAGACAGAGTACTTCGAAGAACGTTGGTTATGTACTGTAACCCCAGATTCTATGGGTATAAGCGTAGCCCTTTAAGGCTGTCGCTGATGGGTTTATCCCAATATGCGAAGCATTGCACTGAAAAACTTAGTCCACGCCCACCTGCTGTGTGGGCCCCACCCGGTCCGTATAAATTACGTTAAGAGCATGAAATCGGCTCCCAAAATAACTTTTTCTTCAGCCATTTAGGAGCCAGTGAGGCCTGACGCTTAAAGGGCTACACTTATACTCATAGAATCTGGGGTTACAGTATGTAACCAACGTTCTATTTCGTATAGGCTTCACCCTTTAAGGCTGTCGCTGATGGGTTAAGGGCGAAGCGGATGTTGTCCTCGCCTCACTGGGTCCATTCGAACACCGTATGAAGCAGGAGCTTGCCCAAAAAAAGTCTTGGCACTCAGCTCCCCATGTGCGTAATTACGCACTGCGTAATTATGTGTGCCATGCACAGATGCATGTTGTGTACCTATGCGTTCTGAATGCATGAACGCCCCGGAAAATTCAACGGGGAGGGAAAAATGCTGAAAAGAGACATGAACCAACCGGTTTACAGCTGAACAGTATGAACAGATTAATAATAACAGGAGAGCTGATTATTAATCAAATGAACTGATTGGTAACAATAGTCATGAACTGATTAGTGACAATAGAACCAAAAAAACAATCACAATTTGTGATTGATAACAACATCTATTTGTTAAAAATGAAATAAAATGTAAGTTAATTAATGAAATGTCAATAATTGTTGATAATATCATGGAAATAATAACAATAGAAATAATAAACAAGTATGATAAAAACATATTGATAAGTTGTGTATATCGATCCCCAGGATCAAATATAGAAATATTCACTGATAAAATCGTACAACTATTGGACAAGAGTTTTAATAAAAGCATTTTTTCTGTGGAGACTTTAATATTGACCTGGGAAATAAAACAGATTCAAATAACATCAGTACATTTACAAATTCATTGTATGGTTTAAATCTTTATCCGTTAATATCAAAACCAACAAGAATTGCAACTCATGGTGCTACAATAATTGATAATATTTTCACAAATGTAACAAATGGGGATGTGATGGGAGGTATTTTAATGAGTGATATGAGTGGTCACTTACCAGTTTTCATGATTTATAAAAATGATCAAAGCATTACAAAATAAATCACAATTAAGAAAAAAAACAATAAACACATCAAAAAAAGCAATGGACAAATTAAAAGATGATTTACATAAACAAAGCTGGAAAGACGCGTATGATGATGTGACCAGATCATATGATGAGTTTATGAATATGTTAGGAGCTCTGTATGAAAAGAATTGTGTCCAAAATAATTATACAAAGAGAAATGTTGATCAACCATGGATGACAAAAGGGTTGAGAAATGCTTGTAAAAAAAAAGAATTATTTGTATACATGTTTCTTGAAATTGAGAACACAAGAGGCTGAAGAGAAATATAAGAAGTATAAAAATAAATTAGTAGCGATTATAAGGAAACACAAGAAGGAATATTATAGTGATTTATTAAATAAAAGTAATGGTAATATGAAAGCAACATGGCAAGTAATAAATAGTGTTCTGAAAAGTCACAAAGCAAAAACAGGTATTTCACAATATTTTTTGAAGGATGACAATGAAATCCATGATGAAAATGAAATTGTAAATGGATTTAATCATCATTTTGTGAACGTTGGTTCAAGACTTGCAGCTAAAATACCAAAAGTAGACAATAATGTGAACCATTCAGTTATAAGTTGTGACAACAGTATTTTTCTCAATGGAACTGAAAAAGAAGAAATAATGAATGTAGTAAAAAATCTTACAGATAAGAGATCAAAAGACTGGGTGGACATGGATATGATGTTTGTAAAGGACATAATGAGTTATGTTATCGAGCCGTTTACATATATATATGTAATTTATCATTTTCGAAAGGAATATTTCCAGACAATATGAAAGTAGCTAAGGTAGTTCCTCTCTTTAAAAATGGTGATAAATGTGTGTTCAATAATTATAGACCAATATCCTTATTACCACAGTTCTCAAAAATTCTAGAAAAACTATTTGTGACCAGATTAGATAAATTTATTACTAAACAAAACATTTTAAGTAGCAGTCAGTATGAGTTTAGAGCAAAAAACTCTACATCAATGGCTCTCATGGAAATAATAGAACAAATAACTACTGCTGTCGATCAAAAACAGTATTGTGTTAGGATTTTTGTTGATTTAAAAAAAGCATTCAATACTATTGACCACACTATTCTCCTTGAAAAATTAAATAAATATGGTATGAGGACCAGCACTACACTGGGTATCTAGCTA